TATATATATATAATATGTAAATATTATCCTTATCCGTAAATATTTCAAACATACTATTTCGATTCTGGCTTTTTTAACTTCAAAGATACTCAGAGTAAAGTAAAAAGCAGAGCACTTTACTAGCCTACAATGACATTTATATGGTAGTGAAATGCCAGCCCTCCCACTGCACTTAACTTCAGAGGTTTGATCTATTTTGTTCTGTTTTTATCAACATGGGTGTAGATATTATACAATGTTGAAAAATGTTAGTTAATATTCTTATGCTAAACAAAGGTAATAATAAATGAATATGAATAATGATTTTTACATATTTATTAGCATTGTCTGTTTGTTTACCAGATGGGGGAAGAGTTGGGGATGGGGTCCCTAACCAAACATTAATGCTGCATAGGGAGTGCCAGCATGGAAAAGTTTGGAAACCATTGGTTTGGGTCACAACGTATCAATGTGATAAAATGGCCTAATCACTGTTTTTTAAATTAGGAGGACATGTGGGGATACTTGAATTTGGACATTTATAAATCCTCTCTATCTAATGTGACTGAGCTTGCAATATTTTACTAAGTGTAAAATTAAAACTCTGTTGAGCTAGTAATAAATAATAAAGAACATCCAAGCATTTCTTTAAAGTTGCAGCAGTTCCTGCAGACACCTGTGTTTGTTAACTTCAAGATAACGGTGGCTTTACTTCTGAATTGGTTCTGATCAGTTTTTTAGTCTTTTTGTTTTTATCAAAAATGCAGCAGTGCAGCGCGGTATGGCTGGCTCTGCCCACATAAAATATCAACAACATAGAAACTCTGTAGGGGCCATATTTCACTCAAGCCTCACAAACAGTAATCAAACAATCAAGGGTGTGAAGCTGAATAGCTGTTTCTAAAATTGCTGGCATTCCCCAACCCCTCATTGCAAGTGATAATGATGAGAGCGGACAGCCAAGTCAGACACAACAAAGCGATTCGGCACACCACCTCTGATTCAGAAAGTAGGCATGTTGAATAAAGCTATTAAGCATGCAAAAAGGAGAAAACTACTCTTTATGAAACTTTGATATTTTTAAACTCCAACATATTTGTGGCTGTTAGAGTAATTGTTTCTGTAGGTGACGTGCCGCTCATGTTGTTTTCTGTCTCGTGTGGAGAAGCCATGACCTATCACTGCCTGTGGCTTCTTAATTACACCGTCTCCATCAGATGACTGTATTTCAGAATGAATCATCCCACTTCAGCTTAGAGTGTAGCCATTTAAAGATGTGTGTGTGTCTGCATCAAAACTCTGAGGTTTATACTGATCAGCAAGTTGGGAAAGCCTGGGCTGTGATGAAATGTAGCAATCTTTTTTGGAAGCTAAATAAACAGTTGCAGGGAGGAGGATTATTTCTTTTAAACGTGTTTGCGTCTGATTTGCTGTGGTATCAGCTTGGTTTTAAGTTAAATACAGGTATCAGCAAACCAACAGGCTCAAAATCATGGTCCTTCTGCTGAGGACTTCAGCTATTTTGTTATTTTGCAAGAAGCTAGCTTCTTATTTAGCAAGAAGCTAGCTTTAACAGAAGCTAGATTGCTGTTTAAAAGGTGAAAAATAAAGGTCTATATACATAATAAGTTTAACAAAAGTCCAGACAGCACCTCGGTGTGGTGTTAAAAATATTTAGCTATATATCAATATATGTCTTTAAATATTGTATGACAAACAATTGCTGTTATTGATATATGGAATCTAGCTCATCATCCAGGACATCATAGCCTGAGATCTTTAAAAACTCCAAATAGCACCTCTCAAATGGCCCCAACACATTTATTTATACTTAATTGTGTGTCCAGTGGGAGGTTTGTGCCCCACTCTACGTTGTTTAAAGGTTCCCCCATACTTGTGGGGACTGTGCACCTACTGTGAGCCATGCAGAGGCTGATATTTCAGCCTTTGTATTCAAGCTTATGTTGTCATTGGTTGTCTTAGTCATTGTGCTTAAAAAACAAAATAAACAATGCTAGTTGGGTGGCTTGCCATCACACACCTGTCAGTAAGATGGACCTCCTTTTAAAAATAAAAACTGTTCGATAAGGCTGACTTCATTTGATTATTTCTTTTTCAATAACAGAATCCTGATAATCCTCACACGACCAAAGCTGGACAATTTAACGCTTTTCTTAATCGCAGTAGGAAGTTTAGAATGTATTTCACTAGTCAAAGTACACAAAACATACTTTATGTTTGAGTTTAGTGTAACTTAATTCAATACATGTCATTCCATATATGGATCCCATTTGCCATAATGTTTTAACCACAAAGAGGTGTAGTGAGTAACACGATTGTGACTTTCTCGCCGCACCTATCATCAGGTGGGCTGTACTGGACAGTAGTGATTCATTTTTGTTCAAACCAAATGAGTTATAAGCAGGAAAAAATGTTGTGTCTCACTATCCTTGTGGGGATTTTTCATTGGCTACCATTCATTTTGCATTCATTTCTATGGCCTAACCCTAAGCATTAGTAACCCATTCCAAACCCTAAGCCTAACCTATACTCAATTCACACCTTTGCCCTGAACCTTACCCCCACTCCAAGAAGAGAACTTGTCATAGGGAACAGCTGATCGTCCCAACAAGAACCAGAAAGGTAATCCCCAAAAATTAGCATATTTCTGGGAAAAATGTCCCCACAGGGTAACAAAAACATAGCTATATATACAGTTACACACACAGTGGGATAGAAAGGTTTCTAGTCAGACACTGATTGTGCAGATTATGCTACTTTGATGAGAGATAGGTCCACTTTAAAGGTATAGTAGAGGATGTTCGTGAATTTTTGAAAAGACCCACCCTCTCAACTGTAAAACACAAAGAACTGCACATGCACAACCCTGTACCCTAATAAACATGTGCAAGAGCATGTAGGAGCCCATCGAGCATGCTAAGCATACTTTCCAAAAGAAGATTTGCATTTTTTCCATGATGTCAGACTCACCACCGGTAAGTGAAAATGGGGACGAGCATCTAGGACGGCCTTACGTAAACATATCACCAGGAATGATTGACAATGAGGAGGACCACTTATTTTGATGATCCNATTTATTTATTGTATTTTATTTATTAATGAAAATATTTCTGTAGAATTTTGGAGTCGTTTTTATCCTTGTGGTATCGAAAATGGTATAGAGTATCGAATATTTTCCTTAGTATCGGTATCGAGTTGAAAAGTTTAGTATCGTGACAACCCTAATACAGATACACACGCAGTGGGATAGAAAGGTTTCTAGTCAGACACTGATTGTGCAGATTATGCTACTTTAATGAGAGACATGTCCATTTTAAAGGTATAGTGGAGGATGTTCACGAATTTTTGAAAAGACCCACCCTCTCAACTGTAAAACACAAAGAACTGCACATGCACAACCCTGTACCCTAATAAATATGTGCAAGAGCATGTAGGAGCCCATCGAGCATGCTAAGCATACTTTCCAAAAGAAGATTTGCATTTTTTCCATGATGTCAGACTCACCACCGGTAAGTGAAAATGGGGACGAGCATCTAGGACGGCCTTACGTAAACATATCACCAGGAATGATTGACAATGAGGAGGACCACTTATTTTGATGATCCATCCTCAAAAAGAATATCCTCCACTATACGTATAACTTTAAGAGACAAAATGAAAAAAATAATCCTGGTAGTCACACTGCAGGATTTTTCAAGTATTTTTTGTAAATTCTGATGGAAAACAAGTATTTTGTCAAAAACAAAAGTTAAACTCAATTCACAAATGAAGTGTTCCTATGATTAAGCAAAATACAGAGCTCTCTCATTCTAAATCTTTCTATATATGTGATAGAAGCATGGTTTGTCTTCACCTGTCTAGGTGAAACGCAGCGATCTCTGCATTGTGTCTCTGGAAGTCAACAAAGTAGAAGAAGTCCTCTGGAGTTTCCTCATCTCTCTGCTGCCTGAATGTAGACATATACACACATAGACATGTACTAAACAAAAATGTCACTTATATTACTCTAAAGTGTGTAATCAAGAAGATAAATACTGACATTTCCTCAGGCTACTGGATAATTCTGCCAAATATAAATGAAGTAAGAGCATGGCTTCACAGTCTTTGCTGTGATTTATAGAGAGACCAGCCACACCTGAAAAAACCCTTACTGTAAATGCAGACTTTACATGCAGGGCTATTTCATCATGTAAGTACCTCACCATTCCTCTGGTGGGGAAAAGTTTCTCACCTCATTGGTTTAAACATTGCTTTGCCAAAGTTACGCATCTTCAAAGCCAGCTTCAGGTGATGTCCACTTGGTTTAACCACTGCCAGAAAGACAGAAAGGAGATGTGTTCGTTATGGAATATAATGTGCTTCCTTACAGATATCCTGAGTTTAGGCTTTTTTCATAATCCATGTTATGATCAATGTTAATAGCATTCAAAATACCCTGAATAAGCACATTTAAAAAATGGTTTGATTTAAGTGCAAAAGACATTGAAACCAATGGGGGAAAAAAAGAGTCAAATCAGTTGGTTTAATGATCTCAGTTCTTTGATTGGAACAAAAATTATAAAACAAAACAGGAAACCCCTGATGGGACAATTCCTTTCTCTCATAGACTATTCAACAAGAACTGACACGGAGAAACGGTAAGTAAGACAGGAATGGGCGTTGTTTGATTTTTGAGGTTTTAATCTAAACCAGGAAAAACCCCTTGAGTTTCTTAACTCCAAACACAACTTTACTCTGTATAAAAGCTTCAAGCAAGTTGTTTGGTAGATATTTTTGCCTTTGCATGTTTCCTGGCTTAATCTCCCTAAAACTAATGCAAAGTCTGGAAATAATTGTTCTGCCCCTCCTGTGTGATGAAGTCAGTTGGGGTTGGTTCATCCAGCTCCTTCTCAGCAGCTCTGTCTGCCCGTATATTACAGTCTCAGCAGTAAGACCCGACAAACCACATGCTGTGCACCATGAAACTCCAGGGTATTATTAGTTAACAATCCTCCAGAGTTTACAATCAAAACATTTCTGGAAAAGAGTCAATGGGGAGTCATACTCTATGGGCAGCTGCAGTTGATGAACTGTGTCCAAGTTTAGGCCTAAAATAACAAGAATTTAAATTGTAGCTCAAATTTAAACTATATCTGCAAATTGTTCCTTGTGTTTATTTTTCCTTGGAAGTGAGTCGGTTTCTGTGGTTGCCCACTTTATTGTGCAGGGACGCTGGTCTGGCGCAACAAAAATGAGACAAAAACACTGTGAGAATGGACTTTTTTCCATTGTGATGGTAGCATTTCCAGCTGACTGGAAGAAAACAGCTTTCACAGGTGACTTGCAAATTCCCTTAGAGCTCTAACTATCTTTATATCACCAGCTTCTCAGAGGAGAAGTAGCAGATGAAAGCCTGGATGGTGTGCAAAGGTTTGAGCATTATGTCTCGGCCTCTGAGCACAAACTAATGTCTGCTGTTTTCAAATCTGAATTGTTTTGACATATAAAAATCCATACGGGGTATTACAAAGGAAGCCGTGTGTTTGTGCCAGATGCAGGAGAGGCAAATGGAAAACAATGGTGAAAATGAGAATTAGTTGAATTCAGTTCCATAACTTAATATGGAGAAAAATAAGAAGGCGGACACCATTTAAAACATGAATAAAGCAAATATCATTAGAAGCAGTGATAGGCTGAACATACCTTGAGTACAATCACATGCACCTTTTAGAGCTTTCTCATCTTGGGTGTAGTCTGTAAGAGTAAAAACAGTGGAGCTCAACTTTCAGCAAATAATTGTAGGAATGATATTATATGATATGAAGGATATGATGCAATCTAATGTAAAAACACACTTTATAATGTAAAAAAAGAAAATACATATATAGTTTTTATACTAAAACAGAAATAATGTTAATAGTTGATTTGGTTTAGAGTAAGTTAATGCCTCAAACATTTTAATACATGGTTGACAGATGGCTGACCATGGCACTGTCTCCCTCTTTCATCCTTATCTCATCTCTGCTCTTCCTCTGTGCAACCCTGCTTCATGTTCTTCATGTTCTCTTTTTATAATCACTTCACCGCCAACTTATCCTCCTCATCCATCTTTACATTGTTCATTACATCCATCCTCTTCATCCCTTTTTATATCCAATTTTCATCCCATTCCTCCCACTCTACCGACATTTAAATCTCTCTCATCGTTATTGTCCTTCTTTACAACCTGTTTTTGTTATCCCAGTTATTCTGCTCTTCCTCTTTACAACCTTTCATCCCACTTTTTCTTCACATGTTTGCCACCCCTTCTCATTCATCCCCCTAAGAACACATTTATCTCCCAAACCAATGTTTATTCATCATTCTCATCTGACTTGATAAGCCCTATTTTACCACTTGTTAAAGTAAAATTAAATTAAATCTGAAATTTTTAAATAATTTTTCATTTAAAGGAAATTTGTGAAAATCTTGATAAGAGGCACATTAATTTATTAATTAATACTTTAAGGAATGAGGACAGACAAAGATACAGTCAAATCCATTTCCTGGTCTGCATGCTCTGCTCTCCATTTAAATAGCTTTTTTACAACAGAAGATGTCATAAAAAAAACAGTAGGCAAGAAGATAAAGCAGTCCTTGAGCATCAGATATCTAAAGGAGTCAGTATGATATGGAGCTCTGGAGAGAAGAAAATAAAACCTCTGTTTTAGAGAAAGGCCCTGCATTTCAGGCATCTCTAAGTGTGGCACGCTGACCTGCAGAAGCATTTCTGGTCCAAACTGGATATTTTTATTGACAACAAACTGATTTAAGATACACAAAGAAAAAACAAGTAGCTCAGGCCTGAAAGTGCTGGTCTGACTCTCAGTTAAACTAAACACAATGGCCTAGGCCTAGTCCACACAAAGAAAAATAGGATATATTTCATAATTGGCGTGTGAACACCAGTGATCAAAAAGTTGTAATATGCATGCCAGGCCCTTTGGTGGCGCTGTGACAGAACCACACCCTGAAAGAAACACTGAGCATCTGCACACGATTAATGCGATGTAAACCCAGCAGCGTAGCAATGACGTAGGTTAAGCTACAGCATTATATTTGAAAGAAGAGGGCTCGCATGGACATACTAAAACATGACTCCATTTTGATACACAGCTTGACCCACAAAATCTCCTTGCGGTTACCCCTTATCTCATCTTCATGGAGATAGGGCTCCTCTGCTCCTCTGAGCTCTTCTTTGAAGTTACCTTACTCTATTCAGTTTAATTTCAGCAATTTACACAAAACTATTTCTCAATTAAAGTTCAATGAAAGAAGCAAATCTGTCAAACCTAAACCATGGACTTTATTAAGTTGCAGTTACACTTTAAGTTTAACTAAAATTAGATTAACAAGTCTGCTCATATATTTATTAGATACTTTACCTTAGATGAATGTCAACTTTTTGATTCACCTTCTTCCTTCGTGGTCTCTCATCTTTTGCAGTTCATACAAGCTTATGTTTTGGGCATATTCCCTGCCTGAAGGTATGTTTTAATATCCCTTTACCTGCACTGACGATCGTCATATTCTTCATATCACTGAGAAGCTGGAGGATGGCAGGGTCATCCCGGGAATACAGAGCATAGCGGTTTATTCCCAGGTGGAACTTCAGCCAGCTGGCATCAGGGTCATAAGTCATCTTTTGCTCCATGAAAGAGATGTTTGCCAGAGAAGCTGCCTCTTCGTGGAGTTTCTTACGTCTGTGCAGAGCCAAACAGTCAACAAAGGTTAAATAGGACCTGGAGGACACATCATTAGACATTTCTGATACCTACAAAAGGTGGAATTAACTGACAGTTATTAGATGCAATATTTTCAAGTGTGAAATGTGCTCTATTGTTTTTATTACCTTAAGCTCTAGGAAAAGGTCATCTGAACCATGCAGTGACAATATCGATGGTCAAAGGGGTAAAACATGGTTCAGGTGACCGCGACAAGTTAGACAGACGAACAAACTCCATTTTAAAACAAACTGATATATTGGGGCAAAGGGCTAAAATGTGAGCTTGTTTGCAGGTCAACCTACCCAGCTCAGTCAGCAAGCGAGCTGATGGGTAAACAAGATAACTGACAAGTGATGAACACATAGAGTGGAGGGTTGCTTCTCCTGTTAAATGCATGCTTGAAAAAGGCTCCATACTGGTTTCTATACTATATGGACATTTTTACCTGAAGAAGGTGATTTGGATACACAAGACCCAGTTTAAACTTTGTGGCCTGAAAGCAAAATGTTGGACATAAACCTGAACATAGAATGTGCACCAACAGACATGGCGGCATCAGGCTACATGATTGCTTTCCTTCAGCAGAGACAGAGAGGCAGGTTAGAGTTAATGTGGTGCTGGGTTGAGCTGAATGCAAGGGAATCCTTGAAGAATTTAATTTAGGAACTGGAGCATCTGGCTTTGGAATGCTGGGCTGCTGGAAGTATTTTCCTGTTACTTTTTAATGTTTAAACAGTTGTTCAACCATAGGAAAAGAGTGTTAACAACCTGGCATGCCTTAAAAACTCATCAAAAGCTTAAATAAATCTCAGATGAGTTGAAAAGGTTACAGTGTAGGATCAAAGAAGAGAGAAGAAGGAAGGTCAATAGATCTCCACTGATCAAAATGTGCAATGTCTGCTATTTGGCCAATAAAATAGACTAACCTCAAACACTAACAAGCATCCAGCCTATGTACCAAATGTGCCTCCATGATCCTTCCCTGGAACACAATATCTTTCCATGAGGCCTTCTATCTGCACAGGTAATTAGAGATTTAGAAGAGTAGCAAAAGCAAACTAGGTGGATGATACTGCATATCAACAAGATTTAATGCACTAATATTATTTTAGCAATTGCTTACATTTCACCGGAGCTTCTACAGACACTGCATGTGATGCCATCAGCTCAGTTGTTGCTTGACTTCAAATTTCTATTTGTGTGCAATAATATTGCTCAGCTTCCTCTCTGCTACATATCCAAACTTTCAAGTATGCCAGCTGCTGCACACATCTGCACCAGGACAATGTATTGCAAATTCATATAAGGGCTCTGGTTATGATAAAAAATGCTTGTTCTGGGGCAATTATTGGGTAGAAACACAAAAGCATGATTAGAAGTCAAGATCAGATAGCAGGGACAAGCTCCAGCATAACATAGTCAGAGGTTTGTTGTCAAGAATAATCAAGATCGAAGGCTTCAGCAGAAGAATGATCAGAAATGTTTGGGCTGAGAAAATAACCTAAACATAAAAAAACTTCAGTGTCTTAGTTTCTGTCCTAAACGCCCGCCCCATAAAAAGCTCATCATGCACCTCTCCTGCCAAACAAACTCCCCCTTCACTCTGAGCCATAACATCCCTGACAGGTTTGAGGTGTTTATATCCAAACTCAGGTGTAGACCATTCCTCTTTTCATCTTTGTCTTCAGCCTTATCGGGTGTTTTCAGTGCTTTCTTTAGTTTCCCCTCTAACCTGTCCGTCTCTAAAGGTCAGATGAAGCGGCTGCTGGAGAGGCTGAACTGGCACAAGGGTGCAGGTTGAGATGGCGTCCATCCTAGTGTCCTAAAAGCTTATCCAGAGGAGCGCTATGGGATTTTAATGCATCAAACTCTTCAACCTTAGCCTGATTTAAAAGAAGGTCCTAATCTTGCTTTTCTCCAGTGCAGAATAAAGCTCACCTATCCTTCCCTGCCATAGAGTTTTTGCCCTGACATCTCAAAGGTCCTGAACAGGTTCTTATGTTGGCTCATCTAAATAAGGGAATTGTCTCAGATTTAATGTGAAAAACAGACAGAAAACAAGTACTCCATCTCAGTTCTATAGTGGTTTATAACCATAACTTCCTTGAGGTTTGTGGCTGTAACATGAGTTTTTTCATAAAAGAGCTGAAAATCTGCATCTTAGAGGTAGCATATGAATAAACAAAAATGCTAAGCGAGTTTCCAGAAGAGTAGAATGACTTCAACTGTGATAAATGAATTGTTGACTAAAACACTCTTGCGATCAGGAGTTGGGAGTCTGCACTTCTCAGGGATGTGTGTGTCTTTAAACTTCTGTTTATGTGTTGCAAAGTGCTGTGGATGTGCTTGACTGCTCTGCCACTGACCTTGACTTTCAACCACAGAATGCACCAACACATACTACTGAGCTGGAAGATTTCTACCCTTCCTTCAAAGGCTATCATTGTCAATATATTTTCATCATTTTCTTTTAAAATTTGATGCCTCTCATTAAAAAGTACTTTAGAACCTGACCTTTCCCAGTGGGACACTTTCCTCTTGTAGTACTCGATCAGCTGTTCCACCTGCAGGAGCCTCTCCTCAGGGTTCAGCTCTGGAGTCTGGATGTTGTACAGAGGGTGAGAGAACAGCCTCTGCATCTTGGAGCCTCTATCATCAAGTTCAGGGGTAGATGGACCAACTAGAAGAGGTGCATGACTCCAGTTGGACAGTTGTGGGGTGGCAAGAGTCTCCAATGTGGGGAGGCTGAGGTTGCTGTTGGGACTACATGAGCAAATATCTCTCTCTGGGTGCCTCCTTCTCTGCAGCTTCGGCAGAAGGATGAAGTAGAAATCTGCAGAAAAGAGCGCTGCAAGGGCTGCAGCCAAGAGAAAACGGTCTCTTCTCATTGCTGTGATCAAAAAGAGACAGGAATTTGAAAAGTTTTAAAATAAAAGAAAAGGTCCAGTTTGATCCAAAATATTTGAGGGATCAAATTGTTGGTATCATCCAGTCACACAGATTGACAAAGCCTGGTTTTAACGCTCTGATTATCCAAGTCTCCCAGTTTCTCTGCTTTCTGTCTCTTCTCTTTTGCCACACTTTCCATCCTCCTCCTTCCTTGGCAATAACTTTAAAAAGAGCTCCGAGCTCCGAGCAGGCATGTGTTTGCAGCAGTTCTGACAGTCTGGCTGCTCCAAGGACCTGCTGCTATGAGGAGGAGCTGGTTAGTGACTGTTTAGTGTTGCAACATTGTGGGTGTGCTCATGCAAACATCAAGCAGAATGAGACAGTGCTTTAGCGAAGGTGCAGATTCCAGTCAGAGTGAAGCTTCGTAGCGACCACTGAAGTGAGAGCTGCAGAAGTTGTTCTCAGAAGTTGTTTTAGAGAAAACAGATTTATATCCATTCTGAAGCCCAGTTTCAACAGGTGTGATCAGGTTTCGTCTGACTCAAATATTAAGTTTGCATATGCAAATTAGCTGCTGTGTGTAGAAACTTGTTAAACTCCCGGGAGGCAACTCTTCATCAGTGATATTTTTGCTTCCTTCCTTTTCAGTAAACTTTCATTTCTCACACCTCCTTCAGTGTCATTATTTGAACCATCACAGCTCCAAACTCCTCGCTCTCTGCTCATCTCTCCCTCATGCTTGTTTTACTTTTCACCACGGATCTGGCTTGCTTCGCTCCAGGCAAAATTCCCAGCTGCACTCTCCTCCCTGCTGCAGTTCTCTGACATCAGATCCCTCACCCCCCCTCTCATGTGAAGCTGCAGAGAAGAACACTTTTAAGGCTGAAACTAAACAATTGTGCTGGCACTTCTTCAAAATAAGGGAAACATGGTTTAAAACAAAGCCCTCTGTTCAAGCCGTTTTGTCTGCGTCTGCCTGATGTTTGTAATCACATACAGCTCCTAATAGCTCTGTGTTTTCTGTGTCTCCTCTGAAAGCTTATATGGTGAAGCAATTCAGCTATCAAAGGGAATTTCACAGCCTGCCTCTGTTGTTTTGTGGTATTTTCAAACATCTGCTGTGTAAATGTATTTATGTGTGTATAGAGGTGGGTGTGTTTTTGTGCGTAACTGTGGCAGAATTGCATGTAAGTGTGTGAAAGTAGCTCCTCAGGATGTTTTAACTTCTCTCAAGATAAAACAGTCTGACAGTGTAAATGGGGAAAATTAGTGAAATGAAGCTTTAACCTGTTATTTAGTCAACTTTCGCAGAATCTGTGATTAGCCTTTGTGCTCCAAGGCAAATTGGGTTATTGCCATTTTAGTTATTTCAAAGACTACAACTAAATCAAGACCAAGGAAAGAAGAAAGAGGGAGACTGTTGCCTGAAAGTAATTATATTTACTACAGGCTCTCATTATAAAAGTATAAATTGATGCTTTTAGCAGGGAACAGCCTGTTTTTGCCAATACCAATTGCTGCAGCTGACTGAAAAAAGAGGAAGATAGGTGGGCTTTGCAAGAATGTCTACTGTAGAGAAGGCTTACTTAAAGTTAAGCTTCATGTGTGTTCTAATAAAACAAGCTCCACATATAATCAACAAACTGTCAATTTTCTATCAGCTAAATGATTTACCTAAGTGCCAAAATGCAGAGTAGAGATGGAAAGATATTCATTCAAGTGATTTTAAAAGACTCTATATCACTGCATAATATCAGAGCCCCAAATGCCCTTAAAGGCATAGAGGAGGATCTTTTATTTCCGGGTAGATCATCTAAATAAGTGGTCCTCTAAATTCTCTATCCTGGTGATATGCTTACGTAAGGCCGTCCTACGTGCTCATCCACATCACTATAATTTTCAGGGCTATATCTGTGGTGAGCTGCGGTTACATACAGTCATTGAAGCACACCTTTCTCAATGCGGTTCTTTGAAAATAGCAGAGGGTCATAAGAGAAAAAAGGTCTAAGAAGAGTATAAGAAGAAAAGAAAGGCATCAGAAGAGACAGGTTTATCCCAGAATGCTTTGCGCTGAGAGCTGTCACTGTCGCCACTGTCGCCATAGTAACTAATAATGAGGATCACGCAAGCACTGTGGAGGAGGAGTTAGATGAACAAAGGAGAGCAAAACGCAGTGGTCATCTGTCCAAACTTTAACTTCACTAAGTCCACTATTTAGTCCACGCTCTATATAATGATTGGAGGATTTAGGGGTTAGAGTGGATGTTCGGATACAGAGTTGTGCATGTGCATTTGTTTTCAAAAATTGGCGAAAATCCTCCACTATACCTTAAAGCATTTACCTGAAGTTGTTTATATTTTTTCTCTTTATACCTCAATTCTGTTTCCATTTCTTTAAGCTGTAAAAATTGACAATTCAGAGGAAACTAAATAGAAGAAAACAGGTCCTATCATTAGCCAAGTATTTGGCTGCAAGCATAGTGAAATCCCAGAGTCCATCCTCTTGTATGGACAGGGGAGTCAGCGAATGAATGAAATATTACAGTAGGTAGAGGATTCATATATGAAATTCTGTTTTGCTTCCAAAGAAGTAAACTGCATCCCAAAATTTCTACTGGTGTCCTTGTAACCTCAAAAACACATTAAGAAGAAGATGGCATTTCCTTTTTTTAATGTCTCACAGTCATCGGAGAAATCCCCTATGACACAACATCGAGATGCTTCTTACC